ATGTAAAATTTGGTCAGAGTTTACCAGAGTGTTAACTGACAGTAAAATAGCATCCACTTGTAAAAGGGCTCGGGGTTTGATACAGTGATTTACAGTTACATTATTCCACTTGACCAAGAGGCAATGCTGGAAGATTATGTATTGTTCTCCTCTGTCACAGTGCAAGTGGTTACTGGTAAGCAGTTGTTGAACAATATACAAAACACCCACGTGATCTGACAAGAGGCTCCACTTCACTAGTGATTGTCTGCTCTCATTTTCCCTTCGGTAGATAACTGCCACTCTGACAGATTGTTTTTGTTTTTCTATAAAAACGGGCTGCTTGAAACAAGCTTTCTGCAATGTGACGCATTAGCAAATGGAAAAAAATAAAAATTATACTTAACATTGCCATCGCAAATATAGTGTGACATTTGCGACTTAGTAAGTGCAGAGATCTTAGTGTAAAAAGCTGTTGCTCTTTGCAATGAACAACATTATAAATAGCTACTGCAGTGCGGTATTGTTCTTAGTGGGATGAACTGCTAGTAATTCATGCCAGTCTCATTACAGCAGTGATGCAGCCTTTGCCAACTTTAAGTAGCCCATACAGAGACAGATTATGAGACCGCACCCCTCCTACATAGGACCAAATCCCTCAGGGTGCTTAGTTGATTTGTGTCTTTTGTCACTGTTGTGTCTTCTTTGGTCTTTTTGACTCTCTTTGTGGCTTTCTGTGTGACCGTTTTACATCTCTCTAGTCTTTTTGAGTGTATTTGTGGTTGTCTCAGCCCCGTGTTTAGTAACCTGACGCCCATCAAGTCAAAACATGTGTCCACAATTCTTCATTGACCAGTCACAAACTTGAATCCTATTTCACTTAACACAAACATTTAAGTTTGAGTTTGTGAATAAATGTCTCTTTGCAGGAACAAGTTACAGTAAGACAGAGCAGTTTGTGTGTGTGGAAAAAGATCCACAATAGAAAATATATTAACAGAAACTTTAAAATAAAAAATAAATATAAAAAAATACAGTATGACTAGAATCTGCTAAACTTGTTGACAGGACTTTAAATACAGACTGATGTGTAAACAAACAGGTCCTAGGTGATGGGTTAGACTAAGAGTGGTTCAAAAAGCCCTTTATGAATAGAATTCAATCAAGGACCGTGACGTCGCCCGGCATGGC